ACTGCTGGTGAAGTGTCAACATTACACCAGTGCCGAAAAAAGGATCCAACAAACATCGACCTATCGCGTGCACTTCCGTTACTTTGAATGTTCTGAAGAAGTCATTCCCGAAATGATGCCGTCCAGAACGCGCTCTAAGGACCCACTCAAGTTCGCCTATTGTAGTTCGAGGTCTACCCTAGATGCTGCGGCATACCTCGTACATTCTGTACTGTCATCGCTTGACAATAGGAATAAAGCAACTCGGATGTGTTTTCTTGACTACAGCAATGCATTTGGTTGTGTAAACCGCGAATTACTGCTAGAAGACCTACTTACTCAAGGAGTACATCCCTCTATTGTCTATCTACTGAGTGATTATTTTGCTGAGCGCACTCAGATCACCCGACTCAGTGGCAGATGTTCCTCCCCACTACTCACCAATGCAGGTGTCCTTCAGGGAGCAATTCTGTCGCCTTTTCTACCTAAGCTCTCTGCCAGCTCCAACTGAAGCGACTGATAAAATTTGCGGACATCGTCCTGGACATCAATCACCAAAGCACCGATTGTTCATTCGGATTACAAGCGCTTCTGAACGATCTTAATGGCTGGTCCAAATGCTTCAAAGTGCCATGACATTCTTTTTTCTTTTCACAAAACAGCCAGGTACGAGGAGCTCCTTACACTGTGCAACAAGTTACATATGAATAAAATTTTTATTTTATTCATCGAGGTCGAGCACATGGTGCTATAGCATATGCGGTCGTGAGTGTCTGAGTCAGGCAGGCCTAGTGAGCCATGAGCGAGGCCACTCCGGACCAGCATCGAAACGACGACGGGTGCTGCTGAAGACGTAAGCAGTATCGGCGCAGCGTTGCTAGGTACGCTGTATTCACATTCATTCTATTTACTAACCTTGTGTGTGCTAAGTTTCTTTATTTCAGTTGATTGGTTTGCTGTATTTTGATACCTCGTTTTAGTGTCTAGCTGAATAATCTCCTATTTACTTGCACAGGTCGCTTTAACCAAAGGTGGTTAACTTTATTAATCTTTTCGCGTATGTTGCATTTTTGATCTATTTTTCTGATACCTTGAGTTTTTCGCGGATTTTATGATAATTCCTTATTTTTATGTGTGTATTTAGCAATGAGTTTTGTCGGCAAATCTGTATACATTATTCGATACATTTTATTCCATCTTATCATTTCAAGTGACTGTATGTCGCTTTACATCCCCGGTGTGGCTGCGCATGATGTGGATGATGACAAGATGCCTGCTTGTCTAATTCTCCACTACAATTGCTGCTTGCAGCTTACTGAAGAATTGATGAGCAGACGGGGTGCACGGTCCTCTTGACCGTGCTAGGCTCAAAGATTGGTTCTATCCAGCGTGGAGCGGACTACGACCCAGCCACCGCCTTGCGTACGTCTGGTGCTCATGATTTCCAAATTAGGCATGAATCCTTCTGCTCTGCTTGTTGAATGAGTGTGGACCGGCTCCGTTGATGAAACCTTGGTCAAGCATACCCATGAATACGTCCCCTAGTAAAAGGGCTGATGGGTTGCTCGTAGCCACACCATCTATCTGTCGATATGCTTTTCCTTGAAGGTTAAATTTGACATCTTTCGTGCACAGCAGGAGCATGTTTTTCAACATTTTCTTGGGCAACTGCAGTCGAATGTTGTTTCTCGTGACTAGCTCACATAGGTGGTCAACAGTCTTCCAATGGAATATTGGTGAAAAGCGACTTAACCTCAAGTGAACGCATGCGCTTGTGGGCTATGTTGGTGGATTCCAAATGGGGAAGTACTCAGATGGAGTTCGACAGCGTATGTTTTACTTGGGACCTTATCACTGGTTCGAGCATGCAGCTCCGCCATTTATCGATGGCATGATACGGCGAATTTACCATAGTGTGTTAGCCGCATAGGTAGTCCTGTTTTGTGCACCTTTGAAAAACCATACATCTGTGGAGTGTGCTTACCTACTGGCTTTGGCTTTTTATATTCATCGTCTGAGGTGAAACCATGTGGCAGTAACATCTGTACTTCACGACACAGTTGCTTCTCGACCAACCGGACTGTGTCGAAGGTTGTATTTGGCTTGCATTTCCTGGTGTCTGCTATTATCATTTCCATTTTGGGAAGATAATCTGACATGTCGAGTATGACCACACTGGAACACTTATCATGCTTTAAAATGACCACTTCTTTCATTCGTTCCGGCTCCCGGAGCGATTTATAGTTATCAGCAGTGAGGCACGTTCGCTGTTGTATTGGAGCGTACAAAAATTATGCGCTATATCCACTGCTGTTTGACGTGTTATCATCTAATGGTTATCCATTGCAATTTATAAAACGCTACAGTGGGTTGATGAAACGTACTTGAGAATTAATGGTTCGAAAGAAACAGGTTTTCATTAAGTTGCTTTTCAAAGGCGACAGCTAAAGAGATAAGCGCCTCAATGAAAAACCTACAACTCATCAGAGTTACGCTTGCTCCTGACCACATGACCACCACTTAAGTGTTCAGTGAAGACACCTGTGTTGAAGCAGTGCACCTCCCATTGCTCATACAAATTCACGTATAGCTATAGTGACAGCTATGTTGGGCGCACTATTCGCAATCTGGGTGTTCGAATCAATGAACGCATTCCAAGGTGACTCCGCAAACAGATGGAACATGCGACGATCGCACTCGGTGAATTGTGAAGCAAAGTTGCCTCCGCAATGACGAGGCATTTGATGTGCATCGGTCACTAAGTGAACTCGAACGAGTCATTCAGTCCTCATGCGCAGTCAAATGCCTCACCTACTCAAGCTACTCGAGGTCATTGTGCCCACTACTGTATGTCCCAAAACAGCTGACATTAACATTTAGCCTTCCGCGGTATCGTGTAACGCACCATTCGGAAAACACTTGATCAATAACTGATTGTATGTGACGTTGTTTTGCATTCCTTATTAGTCGCTTGTTTGTGATTGACGAATATGCACAAAATGACAGTGTCATCCCACAATCTTCATCTTCTGGTATTATTTGGACCTGAACATTGTCTACCGACCAAGATCCCAGATGCACATTACGGACACACTGTCAAGAGCGCACCTGCCATACACAACGGAAACGGGGGAAGACCCGGATTTTGTCCACGGAACATAGCTGATCGTTGTCATTGAGGAACCTTTGCAGCAGCTCCAACAGGACACGGAGGAGAACGATGTGTGCAGGCTACTGATTCAGACAATAATGTACGGATAGTCCGTAGACCAAAAAAGTGCCCAAAGAGTTAACTCCGTTCTTTCATTCTCGCGACGAACTCACCGCCCAAAATGGATTACTATTCAGGGCAATAGGATAGTAGTTTCGAAGACGCGTCCAACTTTCAATGCTGGAGATGGCACACTGTGCACATTTGGGAATCAACAATTGCGTGGCCAGAGCACATGAGCTTGTGTTCTGGTCAGGAATGACAAGGTAAACACGTGATTAGGTATCAAACTGTTTGACATGCAGAACACGCGATGTGCGCCAGCCGAAGGAGCCGATGGTTTTTCGTGACGTTCCGGATAGGCTATGGCAGATGGTCGCACTGGACCTTTTTGTTCATGGCGGAAAGAACTACTTGATCGTGGACCACAGTTTCAGTGCTTACTTCGAGATTGATGCCCTGACGTCAACCAGTACGTAAGTCGTAGTGAACAAGTTACGGTGCCAATTGGCTCGGCATGGAATACCCGAGGTGGTGATTCGACAACAGGCCGCAATTTAGTAGTGCAGCATTCCGCAATTTTAGCAAGAAGTGGGATTCACGGCATTGGCTCATCAGCCTGTATCACAGCCATTCAAATGGAAAGGTTGAGTCCGTAGTGAAGGAGACAAAGCAAATGCTTACGAAAACCAAGGATCCCTACATAATGCTGTTGGAGCGAAGAAACACGTCGTCTACCGAGATCGGAGTAAGTCCAGTGTAACGACTGTTCAGTTGCAGAACAAGAATGCTGTTACCGGCCGCTACTGTGCACATCCGACTACGGAACAGAATGCTAAGCCAAAAGATGTGCTATGATTGGCAATTGTGCGAAGAATATTCTTTTTGCCAAATCACTTCAAGCATCCACAATTATAAAGAAAATTATGACACGAATAAACTTGTGAAAGCCTTGATAAAATAGGATAAATGAACATAAAAGAAGTCACGATACTTTCCAACTAGTTAGCTAAACATTATGAACTAGAGATCAGTTTGCTCAATCAGCCTAGGAGGCATATACAAGTGCACGTGACTAACGCTGGACAATTAATGCTAGAGCGGGTTTATAGTCAGGGCAACGTCAAAGTTTATACCAGAGTTCGCTGTTTGCACAGGTCTGTTTTCAAAACTCTGATCACGCTGGCCTCGGCGATGATTAATAGAAGTTTCTTGTGCATTTTTGGGTAACGTCTAGGGGTGGTGTAGACCACTTCATCCGCGCTTCATGACAAATTTCAACCAAGTGTTGTAGAATGTAACTGTTGATCTTCTTCACTGTGCTTTTTCGCAATGACGCAGGACAGTGCTCAGCAATCCTTTGGGACAATCACCTGGTCGTATGTCCAAAGTACATTGCATCACAGGTGTAAGTGAGCTGGTATACGATGAAAGATTCGGACCAGACCGGGAGTTTGTCCTTTAGGTGCTAAGGAGTTAAAAGTCTTGTTTCAGCAACTAGTTTTAGCTTAGCAGCTGAATACGCATGGACCACTGCAGATGAAAGCTTTTTGTTCACTTTTAAGATTTCTCGTAGCAGCTCAGGACCGTTTTACCAGTGCGACCGACTTCCTCACTCAGTCTTGTCTCGTTTGTGTCCTCATTTTTACTCAATCACTCCCGCTCTGCATTCCTCATTGCCTATAATTTGTTTGTATTACCTTTGCTATGACTTGCGGTAATCCTGGTTGGCGTGTTGAACACAACGCAGCTCCTTTATTTTGTTTTTTTTAACGGGCATACCAACTATGTTCTCTTTATGTGTTCACAGTTGACATTACAACTTACCACCACGGCTTTCATGGAGACACCAATGAAACCATATTTGTTGGCACACCAGACGACCGCTCAATTCGACTGGTCAGAAACGCTTACAAGTGCTTAGCCAAAGCGATGGACTTTGGTAAGTATTTCCTTTTCTTTTACATTCGACCCTCTCACTGGAGTTGCCATGCTTCCCGGAAATCATCAGTCCTGGCTTTTTGAACTCGCGTCGTTTACCTTTCTTCCTAAGCTACTCTCGTAGCCGTTTCACTAAGTTGGGTTTCATTTTTTTGACTGCTTTTTCTTCAACTGTTAACTATTTCTATCTCAGCTTTTTTCCATTAAGTTTCTAGGTTCATTACATGTTTACTTGGGATCTTGCTGTATCAACAACATGTTGCCTATAAATCGAACATGAGGTGATTGATTCTCTCCAGTCTGGTGTTCATTTCGTTCAAGTTGCACCCGATACATTTTCATTTTGAGTCCAGTGTAAATAAGTGATGTCCTAACCTGACGATCACTTTTTGCTTTCAAGCAGAATCCTAGGCAGCTGTCGCCTAGATTTGCGAACTTTAAACATCAACCCGTTGAAGGGACAAGCTACCTTTTTTTCCGCCATCCACACTGAGCTTACCTATAGCCGAAGTTATTGCTCTGTCCTTTGCTCATCTTAATGGAATAATCGCAGTTACCCACGTCCATTACGAGCTTCCTTTGGCTTTAATGTTTTTCGCATTCTCTTTTAAGACTCTTTTATCATCATGCTTATGAGTTATCGGGGCATCAGCATAACATGCTCCTTCACTGGCAAATAATAACTACTACTGCTGCTGCTGCTACTACTACTACTACTACTACCGGTAGTAGTATTATTTCCAATAATTGATTTCGAGGGAGTATTGGGGGCTTTGCATCCTGTCAAACGTCCCTAATATTCTTTGTACTCAGTACTCAAATCAAACTACTCGTAATGCCCTAACTCACTCAGTGGTCTAACTTTGGTAAGTTCATCGCCTGTTGAGGTGGGATACCTTGTTATATGCACGGCAGCAACGTACAGGTCATTGGATAGTGTGCAGCGCTGTCACATTTAGTAATTCAGTGACGTTGGTCGTTACTATCCCCCATAGCTTATGGAACTTTAAGACATACTGATAACAGTCGAGATGTGGGTTCGAGCCCCACAGGGGTAAGACTTTAATAAGTACTACTAACGATTTTCGCAAAGATGAAACGGCTGTACAGTACTCTTTCTGGCGTCTGATGGCGGTCTGATTGAGTCTAAATGTGATAAATTTTTTAGTAACAACAAAGGACATTACAGAAATTCCTTGTGTTCCGCCCAATTTCGGCTTGTAATCAGCGATTCCCGTGAATGATTTCCATGTGCACGAGGTGTCAGACGTGTGCTCACATGTGCGATGCATGCTTCTACTGTCACAGGAAGCGGTGGCTCGATAGTAGGCATGCGTCTTTACACAAGTGTTACTCCCTCCTGATATTGCACTACATTGTCGGTTTCTCTCTTGTTTGTAAACATATCATGCTTCTCCACTGGTGCACAAAAGTCATTTGCTATCAGTGTTCATCAAAACTGTTGTTTTGTTGACTGCGACCAGCATTTTCCCCTCTCCCTTCTTTTCCAACACTTTTCTGTTATTTCTGGCACTTTTACCTCGATCAACCTTGTTTCCGCTAACACACGTTTAACTTGCTTGAGCTGTCGGATTTCCGTCTCTTTACAGCTCGTCCTGGGGTAAAGTATCGGGACGTGGGATATGTTATTAGCAAACAGGCAGCAGCAGATGGCTTCTCCGTTGTGCGCAGCTATTCTGGTCATGGAGTCCATCGCCTTTTCCATTGCCCACCAAACGTGCCACACTACTCACGTACGTTTCCGGACCCCTTTTTGTTGCCGATTTGGAATTCCCATAGCTCCATACTGAGCTTCTAAAGGGTATTGGCTGAGTTTTTGATGTGCTATTGATAAGCCCTCTAAACAGTTCCTCTTTCGCACTTGTACGGCAGATGATTACGTCAGGTTTTCCGATCCAACCTCCATTTATCCTGCTGCTATTTGTTTCATGCTACTGAGTACTCGGATAGTAGTATGCACTTAAAGCAAAATAAGTCTTTCGAAATAGCAGCCGAAACCCAGTCTTAAATACTATCCTTTCTTGCTCTGCTTCAAGTCCTTTTCCGATCTCTTCGACCTTTATTCGACGTAATGACAAATAGGTTAGCTCGTCTTTCATGCCTATTTTAGGATCCCAAGTTGTGTTTGTAATGCTCACGCACCAATCAGATCGGTCGACGAGCGACTGACTCTATCCTCTCTCGAAATCGGTCCGTCTCTAGACCCCGAACCACTTGTATTGGACAATAATGTCCCAATACATCTGTCCCAGCCTTCACGCCTGGCTTCCTTTACGAATCCGGGCGAACGATTCATGGCACTTTCGGTCTTGAAGTCACTGTCCTTGGACGTGTGGAGTCAGCTCCTCCACGGTAGTCCTCCACAAGCAACTGATATTCGACTTAAATTGAAGCTAAATCAGAGCTGCCAAACGGTGACCCGCGACGAAATGCTTTACATCTTTAAGGTGCATGTTTTAACCAGCTTTAGTTCCGAAGCCCTTTCATTTGTCCCAATGCCGTAGAGAGCAGGCATTGGTTTCCCGTGTACAACAGGAATAGACTTTGCAAAGTGTGTTTCGTTTACTTTGGGCGCTCAAGTACAAGTTCATAGCTCGGTCCGAGGAGATTGCCACTTGTCTCTGCGGTTAACGGCTTCCGGTTGATTCTTTCCTCCCTGTGTTAACAAGAATATTTCTCGTTAGATTTCTCCGTGCATTGGATCTATTTCAGTTTCCTTTCTGACTAGATTTTTCGGCCATAATACTCGAAGGTCTTGCTATCGCTTTGTGCTCTATTGGCCGCATCCTTGGTATCGGATTTTCCATAACGCCAAAACAAGTATATTCCAAGATTGTCGGAATTCGAGCAACTACACTCACATGTGTTCTGTATAGCGTTAAATTCCATATTTTATGCATTGGATGATCGATTGAGCAACTTCTGCGTTTTCCTGTAATTCAATATTCCGAAACGAGCTGAAGCCGGAGAACGTAGCACAGTATCGTAAACTGCCTTGTAGGCTAAGTCATTCCGTTGAGAGCGGCTCCCTGTGTTTGTCCCAACAAGCTAGTCTGAAGCGCCTCCAGATTTAAGCTTTCCTGTTCGTCCCGTGCAAACTCACCGGCACGAAGTCCCGCCGTTGCGAGCAGCCCACTTACAGCTGACATGAATATTTTACGTGTTGTATCTTACAGGCACTGATGTCCCGATGTGCGAAGGCCTGTGTACTGAAAACACGTGAGAAGTACAGAGAACGAAAAACCACGGATAACCGATACAGCCACTTTCCAAATCAGAAGGCAAAGGCCTCTGGCGGAACTTGTATGGAGCACTCGGAAGACAGAATGTACGGCCAAAATATTGGGTCGAAATAAATAGTTCATGAGAGATAGGACATAGTTAAATGTTCCTGACTATAGCAACTACTATACTATTTCCCGGCCAAGTTGTCCTCTTGGGCAACAGAAATAATCTGAAGGGGCATTTAACATGAGTCTACTCAATTAATTTGTTCCGCGCGTACGCCAGTCACTTGTGCAGGTGTGTAGGTGTGCGTGTATAGCTCGTCACCTTCAGCCACCTGGACCTCAGACGCACTAAGTCATAGGGGTGCAGGTGGGACGCTTCAGCTCCTACGCAAGAACAAATTAATTGAGTAGACTCATGTTGAATGCCTCCTCAGCTTATTTCTGTTTCCCAAGAGGACAACTTGGCCGGGAAATGGTGTAGATGCGCAAGAACTCGCTTGTTGGCTGAGCAAGTAGTGTGCTTTCTGGAGAGCTTCATGGCAGGTCATTCTGAGTGGCCCACCTCAAGGTGAAATGCCATTGGCTTACTCCTGTTGGTTAGCCAATCAGCTACAGGCGGCATACAACCAATCTTCACCGGTCTGATCCCGACAAAGAGAGGGAGAGAGCCAGCTTCGGTGGCTGCTATGGACGGGCCCCGATAACGAAAACGCGGAAAATGGAAAAATAGTTCAGATGCTGCAAATCAACAACAGGCTAGATCACGTGAAGCCCGAAAAATTCTTCGCCCTCCGAGGTCAACGTTGGCAGTCCAGTGGTGTGTTTACCTCGTGATCTACCACGCACCTAAGTCCAGTGATCTAACTCCCCAGATGCGCTGCTATCAAAATGTCGAATTACTGCAGAGCTTAATTGACAGATTTCTCGAGGTGGGGGCGGACGGGTTAAAAGTGAGGCAACTTACCCATCCGGGAAAGAGAGGTGCTCAGCGAAGTCGACCAGTGAGAATCACGTTTGTGAACGAAGTCAGTCCGAGGCTGATCTTGACGCGATTAAATAGGTTGGAAGGTCTAAAGCTCCATGTTAATCCAGACCTGGATCCAGGGGTTCTAGAACGCCTCAGGTCTGCAATCATTAAGCCGGAGAAACGAGGTGATGATGAGGGAACCAATCTCCGTATCGTAAATTTTCTGGTCGTTTACACGACTCCACGTAGCAGGATAAACAGGTTGTTCCCAATTCCAGCACGCTCGGTGGTTCCTGCTACGTTCTGAGTGTAGCCTTCACCAACATTTGTAGTCTTAAGAACAAGCGCGATAAACTGTCGTTTCCTTGCATCTGAACGGCCAGACATAGTGGGAGTCGCAGAAATGTAGCTGAATTCTGAAGAGATAACTCAGGAAATCGCATTCTGTGGCTACCCATGCTTCCTATCGACTGACTGTGGTGGTATTCTGCTTTCCATCCGGTTTTTCTTGTGTAAGAGAGCTGTTAACGTCTACAGAAGCAACGATGGTTGGTGTGAATAGCTGTGGTGTTCGATTCACCTCAGCGACCGCGAGCTGTTCGTGGGTGCATTTTATCGCAGTCCCTTCAGCCATTGTTTGGATGATTGGCTGACGCTTCTTCGAAGCCACATGAGTACTTCCCATTTTCTACTCATGGATGACTTCGGTTACCCTCAAGTACGCTGTCCTGACGTTGAACTCAAGCTCCAACATAACGAGGTCGAGACCTAGTTCGTGGATTTAGTACTTGAAACTGGAGCAGCGCAACACATCAGCTGACTCGAACAACGCAGTGCTCAACTCCGCCGTGTCTAGATTCCATGTTAACGAGCTGTGAACCACATGTATGACGTTCTGGCCCTAGTGCCCATGGCAGCAAGTGACAATTTAGTGCTAAAAACCAGTATGGATACATAGTTACTGTATTCCATTCCACTAGAGCTCGCTTACAACAACTGGAAAACTAACTTCGACGCTCTAACTCAAGTCGCGAGCCAAGTAGATTGGTCTCTGCTGCAGCCTGCATCTGCGGAATATTATCGGACTGTTATTAGAGTGGGAGTGATATTACTATGTCCTCTGTTTCTTCCATTGAAGTGTCAGAAAGTCGAATCAGTCATGCTGCGTTGCTTCGACAAGAAGTATAGTGAAATGGTTCGGTGGCGGCGCAAGTCGTGGAACAAATTCCTCCTCTGTGTCTCTTCCAATGATTACGAGGAGTATGAGACAGCGAAATATTTATATTGATGCAAAATGAACAAGCGCCTGCATTTTGAACAGAAGCTCACAACGACCGCTCCGAAAAGAATATTTGCTTACGTGGAGCGGCGTCTCAATCTGGTTAGTGATCTGCCAGTGCTGGGAGGATCGGACGGACAGCCTCTAGCTCTGAGCGTGTATCCAAGGCCATTACTTCGGATTTGGCCTCGGTTGGAGCCTCTCAGCCCCATGGTTGGGGACCGAAGGATGATGAACACGTTTAGCCCGATGCACTTGTTGATATGACTATGTGCCGAACTCAATGGCACTTGTGTTGTGAGTGTCTTTGTCCCTCCTCCTCCCGCTTAGCCTCCCTCTCCAATCATGATCTCATTTATTAGACATAATATCACTCCTTTTTTGCGGTACAATAGCCTGCTATTAGCTCTCCGGAACGATGTCCATCCGTTACTAGTGGCTCAGTCGGCGTGCCTCTGTTTCCTTTTATACTTTTCTTTTGTATTGCGGTGCAATAGCTAAGGTGTTTTCCACCTGCAGCTAACGTGTGTAATGTACGAAATATAATGAAGTGTGCGTAGAAGTTGGCAACGCACTTCGCTTCCGTTTTTACGTATGATCAAGTGTCTGTACCGAGTTCGACATGTACCGCGCTTGCCGAACTCGACAGTTCCGTTTGCTGCGCTAAAGAGATGCATCAACTACTCGCCAACTTTGCTGGCCATGATGGACTCTACCCAGTCCTTTTCAAGTCCTTATCGACCGTCATCTCACCTGCTGTGACTGGCTTGTTTAACAGGTCACTATCCGAAGGTTCATTGCCGAGCGATTGCAAATACTCAGTCGTTAAGCCGATACCGAAAAGCGCTGACCCCAGCAAAGTGGACAACTGCAATTTGATTTGTCTGACACCTATTTTGGCCAAATTTGCCTAGAAGATCGTGGAGAAAGCTCTACAAAGGCGGCTTCAGTCAAAAGATCTACTGACGTCCGCACAGCACGTTTCTATGCTAGGCCGCTCATGCATCGCGAAACTGCTTGTGACGAGACACCTAGGGAGTCGGAGGAACATTTTCGACGTAATCTACTTCAGTAAAGCGTTCGATAAGGTAAACCATGAGGACCTCCTCCACAAGCTGGGAATATGCATTGTTGGTGGATCACTGCACCGGTGCATACAGTACTTCCTTGTTGTGCGAAAGTGGAGGGTACGGCTCGACGGCCATTTAACTGGTGTCCTTCTATTTGTGCAGTACTCCAAAGTGTGGTAATGCGGCCCACTCTGTTCCTAATCCACATCAACGATCTACCTCTGTTTCTATACTCGCCGTGTGCCCCGTTTGCGAACGACCTTGTGATGGGGACTGGAAATGCTGTGGTACCGATAAGCAGATGGCCAATCGAACGCCACCGGGCATCTCGCGCAGTACCAGACAGGTGCAATCCAACCCGATAGAGAGTGAGCATGTGGTCGGAAGATTGGTCAGCCAAGCGGCAAATGGTTAGCGCAAACCTGCGTCGAGCTCTGCAAGCACAGCCAGCAATCATCCACTGAATGTGCAAGTGACCAATCAGACGCCGGCAGATTCCAAAAGCACTGGCGAAGAAGCGCATAGTTGTGAGGAGCTTATTGGTGCACATTTGAACCGAGATTTGTGATATTGGACCGACGGAAGAAGCGTGCGGCCTGATGGACGAGTGCCCAATCGAACCACTCATACAATCCGCCAAGAAAGTCGGTGATTTTAGACAGAATGAACGTGGTGAGCAAGCGTAAACCAATGGAAAGAAAGCCAGTGACAGAATGCAAATGACAAGGATGAGCCAATGAAGCGGACTGTTGCAAATAGTGTATATATAATCTATAAATATGCGAGCATAAGCTTAATAAACGACTTCATGATCGGGGAACAGTCTTGTCTCCCGGTGAACTACTTGACAGACCTGAAGATTTATAGCATGATTTGCATTCTAAGCGACTGCGGCCTACTTCGACAAGATCTCGATCATGTGGTCTGCGGAAGTCCGCCTCCCAGTCAACCCATCCAAGTCAGTATTCGTGAGACGGGGGAAGTTTTGTGACGGCCGAATTTACACCGTTGTTGGTCAACCGCTGCATCCCACATCTGTGAAAGGCCTGGTTGTACTTCCGCGCTGCTATCTGAAGTCCGCAGACAACACGAACAAACTACATTGTAACGGACTGCACATGTTTTGGGTCATCAAACGCAGCTTCTGTACTTGGTCTGTAGTGGTAGCCTCTCTTCCTTTCATCCTAAAACCAATACTTGAGTACGGTCACTCGCCTACTACCCAACCACATGTGGTGAGGCACAGAATCTCGAACGGGTCCAACACGTCATTACCAGGCTCATCTCATGTTTACGAGAATTGTCGTACGAAAACTGATGTGAAAGACTAGGAGTCTGCACCTTTTCCTATCACTAGGTGCGAGTCGATCTCATCATACCGTATATTACATCTCGGTGACTGCCCCACCTTGAGGCCGGTTCTTCACTTGCGAAAGCCATGCATCGCACACGGGCACCGGTACAAGCTTGTGGTGCCGGATATAAAACGATTACCGCACCTGTGCTTCATATGGAGAGTTGTAAATGTCTGAAACAGTCTGCCCGAACAAATCGTGGAAGCCAAATCTGTGCAGCATTTGAAAACGTAGTCGGATTTACATTTCACCACCATTCGATTCAGAAAACCATTACACACTAACAATAGCATCTTACATTTGTGAACATAGTGAAACTAAAAATCCAACCTTTTAAAACACTTCGTAAAAACTTGAAGAGCGATTAGATTATCACGGATTGCAGATACTTTTTATAACAATTTCGACTATATTGCGATAGGGTTGTACAGATTTGGTTTTATGCTTGCTCCCACAGGCACTGTTCACTATACAGTATTCTTCGTCTCAGTTATCCTTCCGGTGCCAGTGTACGGTTCACCTGCTTACTGTCCTATCACCCGGGGCCAGGTACAAGGGATTGAACGGGCACAGCCTGTTGCCACCAGGCTTTATGAGGTGTGCCTTACGAAGGCCGGTGTAAAAGGCTAGGACTTTATACCCTCTCTTTTCGTCGAGTGCGGGTCGACCTCATCATGATACACCGAACACTACATCTTGTTGATTACTCCATGATGAGGCTGATGGTCTATATTCGCACACCATGTGGCACACTAGGACACTCGGAGAAGCTTGATGTACCGGGTTTAAAGCGGGTCACTCATCAACTCTTCTTTGAACGGAACAACCTACCTACGCACGCAGTCGAAGCAAAGTCATTGTCGGAACTCAGAAATTCCCTGACAACCGCTTTACCGATATGCACTATCAGCAATGCTCTCCAACAAAACAGGCCGTTGCACCTGAGGGATTTTAGATGCATCTACATAAAGATATCTCTTCTTGCTTATTAGAACAGCTATTAGACATTCATTTATTATGAACGAGCTTGATAGCTATTCTTTACTCTTCCTATTTTCTATTTCTTGTCTGTTGTTTAAACGCTCTACTGGGTTAGCCCGATTAGTACACCCACGTCATTGTTAATGGACGCTCATCGTCATGTCCTTTTCAGCAGCGCCATTTGCAAGAACATATTCTATTGGTTTTTTCTTCTCATCACTTTTCTACTTAGTTATGTTAAAGGAATATTTAGTTGTCACACGATTATTGTACTAGTTTTCAACTTTTGGGTCTGCATTCCTTATTCTCGTTTGTTTCGTGACTTTGTTTAAATGTTTCATTTCGTCATTCTGATTGGCCAGTGCCCGTCAGTGTAAATGGACGTTCGCTTTACGCTTGCAGTCCAATGATGCTATTTTTAATGACATATGCGATTCGCTCTTGAGTACATGGTTGCTTATTCGCCGTTGCATTTGACGTTTTTCCTTCTGTTGGTTGGCTCAAGTGTACTTTAGTAGCTTCTCTTCATTTTGCCTTCAAAACTATATAAGCAACTGTGATTTCATGTATACAAATCTGTTTCTGGCTCGGCTTGGGACTTCTTCTTTCGGTCGTGGGGTGATGGCGTCAGCGGCGACACAACATTGCTACTCCCATCTAGTGTTCAATAATCGTATCAGAATCAGCACTACATTTCGGATGCCTCCTTTGATTGATGTTTGTTGTACTGACAGTGGCGACCTTTTCCTTCACTTATGTACTAACTTCGACAGACTGCCCTGAATGATAGTTGCCCACATCACTTAAACTCACATTCAGCTCACGTCAGTCCAGGATGTCGGCTGACCTTGAGCGCCTGCATCGTTTCTACGTAATCGAAAGGTATTCACTCTTGTGGCTTCGGCGAAATACGAAACTCTAAAATTTCTTGCCCTTCGCCACAGCTCCCATAACATCAAACTGTAATTTCTGGCTGACTCTGAACGTCGACTACCACTGGCAAACGAGGTGAACAAACTCAATGGCGATTCGAATCAGTTGCAGTTCATCAAGTAGCAGAATTCGATACTGTTTGTCTCCAGGTTTAAATATCAGATGGATTTCTGAAGTCCAATCGGAACTCGGGCTGTATTCTTTGGCACTTCGTTATCAGAGTGCCCACAGCGATCTGGAGAGATGCCTTTCTGTCGTCGGTATTTCCACCGAATTGTGGTTCATGGTATACCGCCCTTCTCTTCGTAATCATCCTTTCTAACCTCTGTCTGATCTCATTCCGGTCATTTGAGTTAAAGCCCAACGTTGTTACATCTGTGTACGTTTTTCTAAGGAGTGTGCTTATTAATTTAAGCTATTCTGATTGCTGTGTATGTCGTTTTAGAGATATTCCTAATTGATCATAGCTGACTAATTCTGATTTTGACATGATATAACCAGTGAAAGTAGGTGGACGGCATGCGTCTACATCGTTTGTTATGACTTATTGGCTAGTAAGGCCGTCTTCTCATGGCACTTGTAATAGGCCACTAAACACCTGTTCAAGGTGTCCTAGGCTGCACTCATACAATAAGAATTTCCCACTTACTATAGCCCCTTGTGCGAACTGTGCTCATATGATCATAAATTGGTGAAATTGCGCTTAATTGTCTGTGGGCCTGGGCGGCATCAAATAGATTGTTTATCCGAGTTGGAAGTAGTCTCAGTGTGACATCTGTACTTCTTGTTATCAGAGCAGATCCGGTGTTCCCATCCATCTTCTGTCTCTACTTTTGTTTGGGAGCTTCGGAAACACGAAATATACATCATCATTTTACTCCGTTGAGAAAAGGATCTGCTGGGGACAGGAACTTCCACTTTTCTTTACAATCCTACAAAATGCTATGGAGGTGATTTCCGTGTAGAAACAACACAAACAATCGCCATGCGTCTCCATCGCATTTGGTACCCGTTCGTGCATTATATTGCTGCTCCTAAGTTGCACTATTATGCATTAGGATGTTGTCATGATTAAGATGGACTCGCCTTTTGCTTTTCCATTTTTAGCTATGAACCTTGTTTATCTCTTCGCATCTTCTATTAGCACACGCTTATTGAATCACTTCTCCGTACCTAAACTGTCTGTCTTAGTTTAGCCAGTTTGCGACAACAATCTGATGCCCGATGTCCGTCATGTTCAAATCATTTTGTTTTCTCTGCTGTAGGTAACAAAGCAGTTGGTGTGATGAAGCCTGGTCACTGTTTCACCATTGAACCCATGATTAATGAAGGCGATTGGCGTGATGAGCTGTGGCCCGACAAATGGACGGCGGTCACTGTGGATGGCCTTCGCTCAGCTCAATTTGAGCACACCATGCTAATTCTGCCGCCTGAAGCCACAAGTTCCAGTGGTATGCCATTAGAAGTGCTGACCAAACGAGTGATCAAAGGCGAAGATCCACTGTTCTCCATCAGCTCCAATTTCCCCGACGAGGATAAATTGCACTACGAACGCTACGGTCGTCCGTACTTTGTGGACCAGTTGCACAAGCTGGGCCTCGAGCGATGGATCACTCAATAGAATGCTCCTGTACGATTTCGTCTGCCTCTTCTTACCTCTCCACAGAGTGATCTGAGAATTATTTCTTTTCTTCCGACGCAGTGCTTGCAAATTAGCTTGTACTCAGAATGCGTGTAATGATTTATCATTCTTTGATCTTGTTTACACGTGTATAAAACGGAACATCTCTTCCTTCCAAGTTTCCGCTCCCCACTCTTATGGCCCCAGTGCGTCGTTGTTTTATTCACTTCCCCTCGGGCACAAGCTAGCTACGACCAGTGTGGTAAATCACCTGATGAACAACGAAATGTGCAAGTCAAATTCCTGCGCTGACACTCTCTAACCCCCCTCCCCACCCACGTTGATTCGAAATGTAATTGTTGGTATACAGCTATCGGCCGATATGCACATTCACAGTGAAGCAGGTCAAGGCTGGTCTATTTTAACTTCACCGCTGCGGTCTGGCGGTTTGTGCCATTTTCTGTGAACGTTGGTCCTGACCATTGTCGATCAGATTGATGGATCTGATGCTAATACTCCGAGGGGGCGCAGACGAGTTGTTTTGATAGACATTGAGTGTTGCAGTTACAGTGCATTTTGGCTATGCTGACCGCATCTTCCGGGAGCTACAGTGATTCAATTACAGTGGGCGGCAGTGTGCACTCCTCTTTACTGAATTTAAGCTAATACTAAAATATCAGATCAAAGCTGTTCTTGTTCACTTGAAATGGAATTCCTCAGACACTGGTGTCATCTTAGTTTTAGGCGCTTGACACTCAGTTCATCAGGCGACCCTTGTTAGACATCCCTTCCGGTATCGGTTTGCCTAAGCAGATCAAATCAAACCATTTGATTTATACTCGAACAGCTTATCCGGGCGGCTTGAACTTTATTTGGGGCTCCGCGGTCCCGAAAAATCTCTATAACTCAAAGGATCCTCGTGAATTAAATGGCAACATGGCGAAGCAGAAATTTTTCGACATTGCTTGTGTTTATAGGTTGGTCCTAACGTCAGTCCATCAATCTACGCGCGTTTTGGCTCCAATCATTCCAAGAGAGATGAGTCACGGCCCCACTACAGGAGGCGAACATAGGTAACAATGGCCTATCAACGAACTGCTAGAAATGACTGCTCAAAGAGCAAGCATACTTACAAATCGATTCCGGTAAGCATCTACGAGAGTCACAAGAGAAGTAGGTCGTTTCAGTCTGACGAGGTTTGTTGCCTGAGCTATATGACAGCATGCCGAATTGTTGATCGATCCTGCTCTGCAGGCCATCATATAGTACTCTTTCTTGTTGCTACACGCTAAATTAGATGGGGTGAAATCTAGCAATTCCCATCTACCAACAGTTACACCAATTAACGTTTTGATTCGTTCTCCAAGCTGAGTAATTTAATGACAAACGTTTCATCACTTCTCTCAGTGGCATCTTCAGTGCACTGCTCCATAGAAAAAAAATATCACGGAAACTGTCGTCGGGATGTACCAGCATTGTTTCTTAGTGACTTATGCACAATTGTTTGGATGTGGATCTTTTACCTTTTGCTCCTGTCAGAGAACCGCCAACTTTAAGACTTTGGGCTTGAGCTAGGTGGATGGCGAAATTGTCTCGTTTTTAATTTTTGGGTATCGTTCTTGAAGACTCCATTTTCTTACTGTACCCCTCAATAGTATGCTTAACTTTCGATTGTCCCTTACGAATCTAACACTAGACAGATAGATGACCGTTTGTATCCCTTCAACCGGAATCCTTATGGCAGTACTCTAGGACGTCATACCGACCCGTCGCTAACTCGCGACCACTATCAATCGAGTGCGAGTTAGAGATACTTCGAGGTTGTCGCACCTACGCGGGTTCCAACCGGTGACCCATAGGCTAGTTGCCAGACTCTGGAATCACTCAGTCACCGACCGACTTAGTATGAATGGGTATGCAATCAGTTAGTGGTTGGACAGATGTTAGACTCGCAGCAAATAACTGGTTACGTGAATGCACCTTTTTGCCTATGATTACCCAGCCACGACATAAATGGCCGCATACTATCGACCCAGTTGTCAATATTTGGGAAATACACCAAGTGCGGTGATACATATTAACAACTACGTTATCCTTCATACGGCTGGTGCAACAGGTAGGGATCACTGTTTCGGAATCATTACTATGGAGAGATTTCCTGCTGGGGGCTAGCTTTCAGGGCTTGGCTGCACACCATACCTATCGAAAAACGAGTATTGGAACATTGTGATGATTCCAAACATTCAGCATACTCGTAATGACTTTCTATGACCAAGTCTTGGCACTGTTTATCCATCACTTAGTGTGGATGGGATCATTGTCTCGCCATTTCTGCTTGGCAAGTAAATGGTTTGCTAAATTGCGGTACGGTGAAATATCTTGAACGTTTAGGGTTCCTCTATTTTGTATAACCTACGTCGGCATAAACGATGAGCTCAGTCATTTGGGTCGGGTTATCCCCGGTCTCATTGGAAGTCATACTTTACGCATGCACTGACTCGTGTCCATTTTTACCACGGTGACCTGGTGGGGCATTTTGGGATAGGCTAAGTTACTAGTTGAAATCTCATGTAACACTGAGATCACCCATAACGGGTTTTCCACACATGTATAGGTCTATGGTCGCGTAGCCTTCTTGGAAGAATGATAGTGGTTTTAAGTTGACCGTCAAAGTCACCGGTCCGGATCCCGAGGTTGGCCTCTCATCAGCTAAGTAGTTCACACAGGGGCGTACAATCCTATCTGACCCTATGACACCAGTATGTTTTCCTTACGGTTTGATTTATTCGCCAAAACTTGCATCTGCTTTGCCTTCCACTAGATTGTGGTGGTAGTATCAGATCAGAGTGAGCAGATGGACCAACTAAGCGAGCCAGACGAACAATGGGAGGCGGACCTAACGGATTCGATTACTGGACTCGGGTTGGCCGATATTCATGTGATTTACCGTTTGTTTAACCGAATCGAAGTAACAATCTCATCGACTCAGAAGAGTCGTTAGTTATGGACTTGGACCTGCAATTTATATCGAGGCGTTTGGTTTGCTAAACATGCTGTAGTTTTCGCTGAGCTGTCTGCCGAATAAACGTTTATCTCTGAAGGACTGAGTTCTGCAATATAGACGTATAGCAAAGGGGTTTGACCGGTTGGCTTTACTTGCGACGAAGATTACGTCGTTGCTGTTTATATACCTGACCAGGTTGTAATTAATCTGTGTGCATTCAAGTAGAGCACTGATTCACTTAATCGACGCGCGCGTAAAGCAAGCTACTTTCACTCCACTCGATAGGTCAATGATTTGGCTTACAATAACAATTACTGGCTCATTAGATATCTGGTAATAATACGACTCACTATTGTTATCGGTTAATGCAAGTTGCGCCAGGAGTGTCCCAATTTTTTTAGGTCTGCAATCTTCTGTTACTGGCAATCAATCACCATGGATTCTCCGTTTTACTCCTGCCGGCATTGAATCTTATCGACTTCATATGCTATGTGAAACCATTGCCGGAGCGTATTGGTCTCAAGCTTCCGTTTCACGCTTACCGGTATCAATTGACTACAAAATAGCCTTGGAATCCATTCCGTAACGAGTCAAAACGCATCCGACTCTTCTGGCCTCTTTTCATTGAGCCTTTATCATATTAATGCTCAAAGTCGGAACAAATTATGGCGATCCCTCTAATTAGGGATATGAGACCAACTGGCAAAATTTTTCAAATGTTAACATACGGAACAGAAATAACAATATTGACCAATCGTTTGTAGGCTGTTGATTTCTCCTTTTTCTCTTGTACTACATCTAACGGGTTCCCTGAGCTGTTCTCGAGTCTTAGACGCAACTTTGTACAGTCACCAACTGTAGCAGGCCTACTCGTCGATATTGTCGGTGCATCCACTCTAGCCCGGCGACGTGAATTATATGAGACAAGGCGGTCCGTGTGTGCGTCTCCTTCCATAGCTTTGCGACGCATCAAACTTCCGTTCTCCATTTGGAAATTCCTGAGAGAAGTCAGCTTGCCATGCACCATGTTAAACCTCTACACTCAGATGTGTGTGCTCTGCATGTACCGGTTGTCAATCGTGTTTCCCAATCTCGCCGCGTGGTTGCATTTGGTCTATGGCTGCTCACCAACACCTCTGTCGCTGTTTTGGTTTTCCTCTATTCTCGTGATTGTAACAGACTGTGCCACTTTACCGCCAAGCTTAAGCCCCTTCGGCCGGTTATTGCATGCTTCTAGCTCTATGCTATTTAGTACTAAATGTACATTAGACGAATGGACGCAATAGCATCACCCTGTCCGTACAATCTGGTCTAACCACTTTGTGGATTGTTTATTTCACGTGTTCCTCACTTCCAATCTATGTGCTCTGCTCAGCCACACAACCGATCATCATTGGTTCCTGTTAAAATATCGGGGGGGGGGGGCGACAACTGAATTACAAATGAACGTCCATTATTATATCAAAAAGCAAGCTAACGGTTGCATTATACACTGTGAAATCGATGCGAACGTGTGTTGTCAGTGGATGTGTACGTTGCGCAACTTGTCTTTTCACATGGGAAACTCTTTCACCAGCTCCACTGTTCAGATCCATAGGCTTGCGGCCATTACGAAAAAGCTGCCAACGTGGCCAAACGCAGAAGCGGTGATTGCTAGATGAAAGACGTGTCCGAATTCCTCCACAGTTGAGTCCTTCAACATCTACAAATAAAAGGGGTAGCTGATTACATGACGGGCAATCTTTTTAAATGCATATTTGCCTATTCATATCTTTATTGAAAGTCGGAGCAACTTTCTACCCCATTGGATTGGGACTCTAGATACAATCGGAACCGAACAACCTTTGTACTCAACATAAATTTCAACCGCCCACTTGCCTATCTGTACTTTATAGTTCACACTACCTCTAAATTCACCTGAACATTGATCGATTGGTTGTCGCTCCTAACTAAAGCGTCATTGAGCTATATGGCTTATGTTGGCGCCTACGTTGTTTCGAATAGGTAAACTCATTACATTTAACTGCTGCATCCTAAGTTGCACATGTAAAAGCGGCTGGATAACCTTGAAAAGTAGGTATATTTACTAATTTAAGTTGTGTACACTCGTTGTTTCGCAACATTTGGAGCCTTGGCTGCACCCAATCCATGTAAGGAGACTCCCGAGTCGACCAATTGGTACTGTGAAATCCACATCTTCGTGTCTATCAGCGATATTCACTGAGAGACTCGCGTTGATTCAAAAGACCATCTGTATTCGAGTCTACGCATAGTTAACTTATTTCTACATACATCGGCTGGTACGTATCTCAGACTTGTGAATCTTCTCTGAAGCACGATTTCCAGACTTTGTATGCCGCTCTAAGTTGTGTGTCAATGGTGGATGCCCTGGTAAAGCATTCTCACCGCATAACCGCGCTGTTGCACGTCTACGTGCGTTGATCGGTCTCATAGTCTGGATGACTGCCACGTCACAGTCTTTTGCAGAATAGCCACTTCATCGTCTCATCGCAACGGGTATGCTCCTCTAGTTGGTGGCAGAATACGCTCAAAGTAAATCGGCTACCCTCATTGAGCCCTGGAAATAACAATCTTTACCCGATTAAGAGAGGAAATGCTGGCTGTCGTGCATCCATACAAGGATCAAGACAGTCCGTGCAGTGACCGAAGCTCGATGAGACGTACAATCATTTATACGGCCGAACTACCCGCTGATGCCAGCTGCGTGGTTCGCGTTAATCCCCTTTCCAACGACTGTTACGGCGGTACTGTTCCAGGACGTGGTGGGTTTTCGCCTGGCAAGCGTTCTTTCTATAAAAAGCCACATAAAGTCTGTTTAACAACACTACGACATGGCTGATGTGACTCGCCACTAAATAAAGTCACCGCCCTTCACTTATCCGAATTATATTCCTCACTCTATAGGCGTCAGTCCTCCAAGCCGAAGATTTCCTTCAAACCTCACGCCGAAGACCTGACTGAACACAACACCGAAAGCAGCGCAACATTAACACGTTCAGGCAACACATATACGTAAATTCATAACTGCATACTCACGTACAACACTTATGTACAATTTTCTCTCAATCCTGTTTATATTACTACAGTCATGCCTATACAGAAGTGCCACGTATTGTTGGGAACAACAACTTTTTTATTTATGAAGTTGTGGCACTACTCAAACGTGTCACCTTTCGTTGGCTGTTCCTCATTGTTGCCTTTTGCCCAAGTCTTCGGCCTGAAAACCCTGTGTTTACCCACTGTGCTCGGTCTAGTCCACATCTGCCCTATTTGGGGTCACGAGCCTGGTACCTGTTAAGCCGCACAAATTCTGCGCTCTCCGTTCGGACATCGCCATTCCGGTCTGATCACGTGGATGGCACTTGCTTCCCTTTCTATCCACTAGTCCTACGTCTTTCTGTCGATCAAGATTCGTTGATGCGACGGTGCTCTTTGCTCGTCCTTGTCCGGGTCCATCCGTTCTCCCCATGCATACAACCAAGTTGCCCTTAGTAGAGCCACTTTTGCTTCGGCCCGTGTGCTCGTGGCCACATCGCATGGGCGGTGCTTGATTGCCTTTTTTGGCTGCTTATGCTACGCCTGTTTTGTTTACTAAGGTTACTAACAACCATCGCACTGACATCACACTGAAGTCTTCCATGAGCAAACAACCTCTTCATTGGTGAAACAGGCTCACACTGCATGAAGCAACTTACTCGTACCAACAGATCATCCGATGCCCGCTTACTTCGGAATTACCGTTGCCCAGTTGCTCATTATGACTCTCCCATTACAGTATGTTGCACACGCAGAGTACGCACAGATCACTTTAAGCTGGTAACTCACAGCTTTCCACTTAATCATAGTCCAGCGAATCACATGTGTAGACCAATGATCGCCCACACTTGTATTAATCATGCAAGTGCATGATCACACGTGGACAAAATGGGCTATAGAAGTTAACGGTAGGGATTTCGTTGCGGGTAGGAACTCCACGGCTTGGTATTTTTGCTATTAGCACTAGGTCACAGTGTATCTGCAAGCGTTTCTAATGCGCGTTTATCGTTCCCCGACACATGCACTTTTGAAGTTTTATAAACGTTCTGTCACGCATAACTTGGACCTACTAGAGCACAGTGGATTGGTATGTGATCATCAAGACTATCAAGTTTGCCATACATATCCAATCAAACGCAACTAATTTAAGTACATAGTGTATTTCCGATGGTAGCGGAGACTCTTTGTGCTACTCTGTGCCGTTCACATTTCGCTTGTTGCAGCTCACTTGATGAATTAATTGGCTTCTTGCCGTAGTATTACGCCTCTCTATCTTGATAGTCCTTAAGTGATGCACAGAAGTCTCTGATCAGTTGGTTGTGACGTAAGTTGTACTGATGCAGTATGCAGACGGACTAAAACGACCACTTTTACAAGGTAGGTAAATGCATACACCTAGCTCGTCGCTGAATGTCGGCCGGTGTTCCCAACAAAACGATCGTCTCCATAATTGACCCAATGCTTCTGTTATGCGCGCACCTAGTTGTTCTCATGCAGTACTAAGCCATAGTAGGACCTCGATTAGTGCATGTTCACTGAATACCTATCAACAAACAGGGATGACGAAACCCGGTATCATACATGGAACAACCCAATGCTATGCTAAGCTGATCCACCGTCAAGTATCGCTGGACACAGTCTTACATCTATATAAGTCTATGCACGCTTACGGAAGGTTTCGTAGAGTTTGAAGACCATCTTACGTCACCATACTTCTTGATCTCAGTGCCCCATGTTTCATTACTCAACAATGTGTCTCCATAAACTTTCCAACACTGGCTATTATTTTCTTGTTATACTCCATGAACTCATTCAAGTTGAAAGCACTGATGATGCCGTCGATAAAGCACAGTTCCAGATGAGGCGGAGAATCTGCAGATTCCATCCCTGTTTGACTGTTGTTAGGCACCTTTATGTGTACATTACTGTTTCCTCCATGAACTATGGTTTATCACGTAAATGACCGCTAAAAGCATTGCCTTCCACGCATACCAAATGTGAGGTTCTGTTTTGTGGCACTATATCGTATCGTAACAGCGCCGTCTTTATTTATCTATCATGCTAGGTAAGCGGCTGCTGGGATGGCAATTGTCTAAATGTCATCATGTTTCCTTCCTCTACACCAAAGGTCCTTCGATTCGGTAGATCGATGGGCCCGTTGAGACTGTCTGCTCAAGAAAAGTGTGCCCGATAAATATGTAAATGTCATAAGATTGCAGTTCGGGCAGTGCGAGATTATGGCAAGCAGTCGCCCCAGTAATAATTCCACGGTGCAAGATAAGGTTGCTCTTTAACTTCCTTATTGATAAAGTCATGGAAACAGCGCTCACTGGACACAATCCACGAGGTGTGGAACTGCTTCCTGATGAGCCGCTTCTTGAGCTGCAGTAAGTCGTAACATAGCCCTTATTTGTGACAGCTCACAAACTTTCCAAGCAGCAATGGATAAATTGGCATTGGCTGTCGGTAGTGTCGGACTATGCACCGTCGAAATGCAAAGTCCTCCAAGGTTGGCAGGGACGCACTCCTGCGCTGACTCATGGTGGTCATCAGCTAGAAGTCGTCGAGAAATTCAACTGTCTAGGCAGCTATATCAACGCAAGTGGAATTAAACATGAGATCGCGAACCGCACAGCAAAAGTTCGAGGCGTTTTTGCGAATCTGCGCCGCATGTAACGTCGGCATGACATCACTCTCGCCACGAAGGACAGAGTTTACAATGCGGCAGTTCGTTCAACTCTTTTGTATGGTTACGAAACCTGATTCATCAGCTCGACAAATATGAAATGGCTACTTAAGTTCAACCATCACTGCCTTCGCAGCTTAGCTCATGTAAGGTGGGAACACCGCGTGGGCAATGATCATGTTCGGCGTCGTGTATTTGGTGCAGGAAGAGCGAGTGCACCACTCAGCACCATGATACCATGCACTAGGCTCCGATGGATGGACCGCGTGTTGCACATGACAGCATACCGACTCGCGCATCGTACGTTGTTTGCGTGACCGGGGTGTGTGTGGAAGCAGAGATGACCTGGTCAGGAGGAATGAAAACCACCACTTCAGAGTTGGCGTCGGTTGGTGCCTTCTGAAGGACCACGAACACGCTTGGCTGCATAAACTAGTGGACATGGCTAGGAGCGGACCACAATAGCGTTTGGTTTGTGCGTTTCTTTGTCCCTCCTTATTCCACTTATTTTCCCTCTGCAATCACTATCTCGCGCTCCATATATAAGATGATACTTAGCATTATATTACTTGTTTAGAGACAGAGACTGTATTTAAGAGTAAGTAGCAAAGTTTCTGTACAACTCTATCGAGTTATGAAAAATCAAAAACAGCGGCATTGTTGGGTCAGTTAATCGTTTAGCCTTGTTCGGTTCGGAATTCGTTTTGCTGTCATTACTTCCGAGTATATGATGTATATTTTTGCATTGTATGTGCATCGTTTCACAAAAACACGGGTTTCCGAAGTACTCGTCGATACATGTTTTGAAACACTTCACAGGTTTGTCATTTATTAGTCCTGGTAGTGTATTCTATAGGTTTACGATTCTTCGTTCTATACATAATTGATGTGATACCCTGTTCATGCATGGTACCCTGAGTTTGTAACGTTGTCCTCGGGTGTTACAGGGTTCACTCAGA